TTCTTTTTAAAATTGGACCATGGCTATGTAGGAGGTTAAGCTCACACCATTCTATCCAAGCCAGCTTATGATGATATTATGTATAGTATGATGAGGAAAACTACGTGGACAGGCAGGGGTTTCATCAATGTTTTCAGCAGGAGGGACACTGGTTTTCACATGTGGGCAAAACTTTTTGAGCTGAGCTTTTCTATAGGAAAACTTTCCTCTAGATGGTCAAACCAGGTAGGCAAAATCGTCCTCACAGAAGGTCAGTTTGCCGGTGCCTGGCTGTTAATTAATGAAACTTGTGAAGAGGGAGTTCTTGACGCACCTCTAAATTCTCAGCATAGGTTATGAGAATTGGTAGTTTAGTCTTGGAATTAAGAGAGTATTAAAATCACTTACCTAACTACTTCTGCATCAAAAACATCCTGGCGGAGTTTCCAAAGTTGATACATAGATTGCCGACTAGAAGTAAAAACAACAAAGACTGACAGTCAGCAAAATGAATGCTTTAGCCAAGTTTAATATTGCAACCCTTCAATTCTTAAACCTGTTTGTCTGAAGGTCTGTTTACTTACAGAAGAATCTTTTCTGGAGGGTAGGCTGTTTGAGCCAAGATTTTTGGTTCCAATATGGAAAGACGGTACAACAGGAATAAACTGCACATCAGTAAACATATTATTCTAAAACCACAAGAGAAAAAAAGTTTAATCAGTAATACTGTAGTAAAAAAAACTAATAAGACAAAATTAAATTCAAATTTTAAGGTTGTACTGAACTCATGTAATAAACTTATTTAAAATGAAATAACTTTTATCATAAAAAATACTTACAAAATCGAAGTTAATATATAAAACAGCTGTTCTCTTGTAAGTCTATGATTTAAAGAATAAAATTAATAATTGCCAGAAGTTGCTTTATAATTTCAGTTTATTGACATTTACACACATGATAGGGTCAAAAACAAATTTTATTCATCTAAAAACCATGTTGAATGACAGACGACAAAAGGAGATTTTTAATCACAAGACAAGAGGTTTTATATCATTTGAGTGCAACATTACCACAGATAGACAAGTATTTACATGACCACAATTATTTACATTATCTACCCACCTTTGAACTAATCGCAGGCTGACTTGGAAATATGAATACACTGTTTCGGCTATTGACGCTAAAAGCATTGCAGCACCAGCTGAAGAAATAAACAGAGACCAACATAAATCAACAAATTAAATCACTAAATAAAATAAAAATTCAAACAGAAAGTCAATTTAGTCAAGTGGGCATTTGTGATTTATTGCCAAGTTTTCTTTACTAACATTCAAGGTGAATTGCATTGCTCAAAATTTTAATGATCAATGCACACAATTTAGAATAGATTCATTTGAAGCCATTCTTTGAGACGTGACATGGTTTCCTGAACCCATCTGACACACTTTGTCTTCTCTATCCATACTGTAAGTTAGGGATCCTCATCTTCCCCCTTGAATTTACAGCCTGT